ATACTTTTTTACAGGTTTCTTCTTGACAGTTAAATCGTCAGAATCTGAGTCGACTTCATCAATTAGGGACTCTTGACTAAGCTGCACAAACAACAAATAATTTGTAATCATTCTATATAACAATTTGAAGTCATGACTTGTAGTCAGCACTTACCAGTGGTTTGTAAGCGTGCGCTTCAGTGTGCTCCTCCATGATTTCTTGCAGCCTAATGAACCACACACTTGCACCTTTTTCTAGCCTGACACCTGATTTCCTCTGTTGTGCTGCTCCATGATTGGCTCCAGCCTGCTGGACTGAAATTGCCCCAGTGTGCCCCTCCTTGATATCCCGCAACCCACCACCAGGGTTCCGACACATAACACACTTTTTTCAGGAAAGTAAACCTCCAGGGGTCCTTTCCATATTTTTACAGAGACTGCATAAGGACCGTTAGAAAAGCATTACCCATTGATTATTAAGCTTGGACCAGTGGGGTCCGGTGTTCGGGCCCCACCACGTAAAACCAGTCCCCATGACGTGAGTGGAATCTCAGGTTATGGAACCCACCAGGAGTTGAAAACAAGTGCACACACACACACACACTGACACACACAGATCTATTGATGTGACCATGCCTCTTCAAGCTGCTTTGACATTGGATCATGCAAATGCCTCTGCTCACTCTCACATGGTCAGCAAACAAACAAGACAGTCAAGGCCAGGCGTCTTCTGCTTGCCTCATAAATTTTGTCTGCAGCTCTGAAGACTTGAGCATATGGATTGGTTTTATAAGTGCGTTAGAGTGGAACAGTATAGCATACACCAGCCGTTCCCAAACTCAGAAACACCGAGGCCCCCTTAAAAATCTGACGGGTCTGCGTGGCCCCCCAAAATAATAACCAAGAAGACAACATTAAGAATAGGCTCTTCTGGTTATTTTATTTTGGGGAAATAGCCTCTGCTACAAACATTGTAATACAAAAATGATTACAGTGGTGTTCATTATTTATTACAGGAAATAATGAACACAAATATTTTAATATTACAAACAAAACATTATAAATTTAACATTAAATTATTATTTTATTATTTTATTTTTTTTATGACCTCCCGCGGCCCCCCTGCAGTACCCTCGCGGCCCACCAGGGGGCCGCGGACCCCACTTTGGGAGACACTGGCATACACATTAGAAACCAAACGAAACAAAGCAAATCTATAACGATAACAAAGCAGTAGATCCACAGGGAGGGAAGTCGAAAGGTGTGGCAGGTATTTTCACACACATATTTTGTGCGCTTGGATCTGGCTGGTTTTCAGGAGTCAGTAAGTGCATACCACCCACTGCTGTCACAGTACTCAGACTGTTGATGTCATACATTTACAGACAGTATGAAAATACTCATTCTTCTCGATTTTTTATGTTTAATCCAAGTTAAACTTTCCTGTGGATCAGTACGTGGTTTTAATCATGCTAAATGTCAAAATATTGTGAAGATTTATTCTAACTTTTACGGCGCCACCTGAATGTGAACGCCCAAACCCAGCAGACTGCAGATGCGTAGCAGGGTTAGAACCAGGCCCTGTGTCATGAAAAAGGCCATATACAACCCATGCATTATTTATTAATGTTCCTCAAGTCAAGATACGACAAACAAAATGTGAGTGTTTTTTGGCCGTTTTTCACAACATTCATTTTGCTCCCGTTTGCACAAACTAAGTCTGATTTGCACAAAACAAGAGTCCAATGTTCAACTCTAGGGTTTAGGTCAGGTGAAAGTGAATTATTTGAAATTGGCCCATTAGCGCCTCCTACAGATTGAGGCAAAGTTTTACATGGGGTGCCAAACAGCCCTAATCATCATATTAATTACAATTTGACTAACAATCTTCTATGGCATTGTGGCGTTGTGGAGCGGCGCGGTGCGGCTTGCTGCGGAGTGGCGTGGTGCAGATCCGCTTGGTGCGGGGCGACTTGATGCATGGCGGCTTGGTGCGGAGCGGCTTGATAAGGGGAGGCTTAATGCGGGACGGCTTGGTGCAGGGTGGCTTGGTGCGGAGGGGCTTGGTGGTGCGCGCGGTGCGGCGAGGGCCGTTCGACGCCGCTTGCGGCTTTAATTATATGTATTCTTATTTGTCACATCACGTCATCATTTGTGAAAAAAAAACCCTAACCCAAATTGTTTTATGTAAAAACATAATGTAAACTTACTTCAGCTGACTCTATTTCCATGTCAATTCAAAATAGGAGATTTTGTAAAATTTTACAAAAAGGGTTCCTTGTCCATGACTTTTGATACTCATCAGCACATACTGTATATTTCTATCTTTCCTTGAGGCTTGACAAAACTTGATTATTGTCTGCATTAGTCTGTTTTTTAACCTGGAATTGCCGGATAAATTTGACATTAAGATTGCGCAGATAGAGGATCCTATTACACTCGTTGAATATTGAGCTGTCACCTCCAGTCGGGTAAAATCTGACATTTAATTAACGGTCCTATTGGGGCTAATTAGTCATTTTACTCAATATAGCTCTCTTTTTAATTTGATTAAGGCAAGAGTATGAGGCGTGGAAAGAGCTTGTTAAACGGACATGTCTGGTTTGGATGCGTCACTCGTCACCTGCTGCGCGTGTGTCTCGCTCAGGTCATATATGAATAATGAAAAAGGAACGTGGATGTATTCTCTCCATGACGCCTCAGGCAGAAATGGCAACAGTGAAGAAGATGATATATATAGATATGTGTTTTGTTGATTACTTTTTGGATTGACTTTTCGGTAGTTCCTTTTGTCTCATTTTTTAACAATGTTCAGTGATATGAAATTTAGCTAGTTCCTCACTCTCAAGACGGTTTAGTGCACGTATTTTTTGGCAGCTGTCACACCTTTAAATCATATTTTTCATTCAATAAAGTGAACTTACAGCCCAAAGCATCAAAAAGTGACTCACAGGGTTCTTGCATTAGTCTTGCATTAGTTTACATGCAACATTAAACTCCAAAATCTTGCACCAATAGAATCATTTGGTACTTTCTGAAAGACTTGTCGTTGTTCATTATTTTGTTTTTAATGTATGTTTTTGAATGAATGTTGGATGTTTTACAGTGTTTTTGAGGATTGTATAGTGAAAATCTCTTGGGCCAGGAGAAAAGAAAACTTTGAATTTAAATGGTATAATGGTTAAATATATACAAAATCAAGATGTTTTTCTAATAAGACACAGACAGCATGTGGTGGTCCAAGGTTCACGAACAAAATATATAATTTATGAAAAAGTTATGTTCCTCACCTTAAAATGCTGCAGCAGGGTCAGACAGGTCATTTGATAGATTTAACCGATTACAGTGAATTGTGAACTTAATTAAAAGGCAGACAATTATCACAGTATTATAGTATATCATAAAAATGCCAAAAGAGAATGGATGGTGATAATGATAAACCATGGCCTCAACCATCAGAGCAATCAGTTTTAGCTAAATCGTAGAAATGCAAAGGTTAATACGGCTCTGAAATGCTACAGCTCTTATCACAAAGGATCATAACTTTCTCTCTGCAACTTAAACTATCTGATTAGGCTGCAACATTTCGCCCTTGGCTCGTGTCTGTAGCCCGGACTGCGTGCGGAGAGATAACTCGATCTTCTCATTCAGCTGCTCCAAAGTACGAACAAAATCTATAATTGAATTCTTCAAAAGGACAGATTCACAAGGTTACACTGCCTAAAAATGCTTTGTAACACAATTAACATTCTTTATCTTGTTATTCACAGTATAATATTGTATACAAATGTTTTAATGAATGTTGTCTTTAGCCTAATGAATAGTTTTTTGAGTCGGATTGCCCTTTGTCTTAGTGTGACCATGTGATTAAAGCTTTTGGTATGAGGCGTTTATCATTTTTGCTAAAACTTGTTCAGAGAGCCTGCTTAGTATTTATTGGGCATGGCTGTCTTAATTATTTCTCTGTTTTGCCTTGTGCATAAATTGAGCGCTCCCCAGAGACACTGTTGTGAGTGGGTGAGCAGAGGGAGGCTAATGGACGTGAGGTGGCACTGAATACCAATAGTGCTGAACCATAATGTGTATGTGTGCTTATGTTGTGAAAGTATGTCCCTTCACATCACTCCCGGATCGAAACCCACAGGCCCTGGTCTAAAATAAACCCACCTTGGACAGTGGAGGAGGCCACAATGAACCCATGCAGGCTCTGTGAGATTGTATGTGTTTGTACAGACCAACATTAAAACACACAGGCTCTGTAATATGTAATGAAGGAGGCTTGACGACTCATCAATTTGTTAGCCATGCGTTTACTCGGTGCCACATAACCTAACATAACATACACTCCCGCCTTCCTGACGTACGTGCGTAAGTGACCATTGGCTACGGGTGCCTGTTTGCACTAACTTACATCACAGGCTCCAGGGACAGTCTGTTGTTGAGTTAATTAATCAGTCAATATTAAGCAAATGATTATGAACTTATTGTATGTTTGACGTCTGGCTGTTTGTGTGTTTCTTAGCAAGGTAGCTCAAAAAGTTAATGGCGGAAAACAAATGAACCTTAGAAATGGCATTTAAAAAAAAAAACAAGAAGAATGTCACTTTGCCTCTTGACGGAGGTACAGTTTTTTTTCAGATTACAAAGATATGTTTGAGCAACAGCAGAAAGCAAAACGCATGGAGCATGAGTTGAATCTGCAATTTCATATCTCAATTCATACTAATGTTTTTTATACAGATATAATTATTATTTTTAGCTTGACCCCCAAGTTCACAATCAGCCCGTCTCCTTTGAACAAAACTGTATCTAAAACCTCAAACTGGATTCCAATTTTGTTGAAATAGAATGCACCCTATACAGTCTTTACTCATGAACTCAATTTTGGTTTTGCTTTATAATATAATATAATATCAGTAACTAAATAATTTGGTGTTTTGAACCAACCGAGTACAAAATACCAAAGAGAATGACATTTCTCTGCTGCGTCTCTGCTAACAGGTTGTCTTTGTGTGCTGCAGCTCATAGTGGAGAAGACCACAGACTTCCCCTCAGCCGAGTTCTCGCTGGTGGAGGATGTGGCTCTGCACTTCACCTGTTTGATGGACAGGCTGAACAAACAGCGCCTCTTCCAGCCTCACCTCTGTGACGTCGACATCGTCCTGGTCCGGCAGCACAGCACCTTCCCCGCCCACAAGGGGGTGCTGGCCGCCTACAGCCCCTTCTTCCACTCCCTCTTCGCGCAGAGCAAGCAGCTGCGGCGCGTAGACCTGTCTCTGGATGCGCTCACGTCGCAAGGCCTTCAGCAGATCCTCAACTTCATCTACACGTCCAAACTTTCGGTGAGCGGCCGCACTGTCTGTGACGTGCTCAACACCGCCACCCTCCTGCAGATGAGCGACATTGCGGCTTCCTGCCGGGACCTCATCAGCAACCACTCGCTCCAAAGCTTGGAAATGGATGGTTCGAGCGGCGTCGACCCGGCTCCCACCACGATTACGCCGAGCCAGTTCTACCGCGAGATCAAGCAAGAGGCCGAGCTCACCAAAGTGTTCACGCGAGAAGGTGTCGGCCCGTTCACGGTGCGAGTGGAGGAGAAAGCGCAGTTAAAGCAGTACTATCAGAAAGAGGAGGTCTCGAGGGGGCGAGCTGATGGGGGCGGAGCTGAAGGGAAAGGGGAGGAGTCTAAAACAGAAGGCCACACCTCATTTAATCGCGATCAAATTATCGTGGAAGTGAACCTCAACAACCAGACGCTCAATGTATCCAAAGGATCTAAGGGAAAAGTGGAAAACGCAGAGACTGTAGTGTTTGATCGCTGCCGTGGTAACAATGCCGATTTCGAGGATGACAACGATGAAGAGGAGCGTAAAAGTGCTGAGATGCTGGGCCAAAGCAGCGAGGATGACACGGGAGATGAAGAAGAAGATGACGAGGGAGAAGAGAACGCCGTGGACATCCCTGGGTTAGAGCAGGCGGCCATTTTGGATCGACCCTTCCTCCGCACCAGAAGCTTAGCCGAAGCCACGCGAGGGGCCAATCAGAGCGGGGTCAGGCTACTGGAGGTGGAGGGGGCGGGGCAGAAGGTGAGGCTGGAGGAGAAACAGCACTTCTCCTGTAAAAAGTGTCCCAGGGTCTTCAATAACCGCTGGTACCTGGAGAAGCACATGAACGTCACTCACAACCGCCTGCAGATCTGTAATAACTGTGGGAAACGCTTTCTGTTGGAGAGTGAGCTGCTGCTGCATCAACAGACCGACTGTGAGAAGAGCATACAGGTGAGGGCCATGGTCACGTTTATATGAAGTAGACTGTATACAGGACAATGCTAACCCACTAGCTCAACAAAGCCCAAGAGAAAGTACTCATGAACACATTTTTGCTTCAACTCACTCTGGCTCCTATTAACTTTCAAAAATAAACTCCTCTCGCTCAGTAACCACACTGAGTAATCTGTGGTTTTGCGCTCTCTATGATCCCGGGTTTGTTTTGATATAATCTTTGTAAATCCAGAAACACACCATTAGAATTGACCTATTAGATGCCTTCATTCATGGGGAATCTCCAACTTGCCTTGGCGATCATGTTAGCAACACGTCTGCCCTTGTTTCGGCGCAAAGCTAACCCGGTTGAAAAAACAAATTCCCATAAAAGGAAAAAGGCTTCCGCTTTCGGGCACACTCTATAGTGACATCAGTCCACGGTTAGTCCACTCCTAGTATACAGTCTTGTTTTTTTTCTCCAAGTGTGTGACATGTGGAAAGGCCTTCAAGAAGTTGTGGTCACTGCACGAGCACAACAAGATCGTCCACGGTTACGCTGAGAAGAAATTCTCCTGTGAGATCTGTGAGAAGAAGTTCTACACTATGGCTCATGTCCGAAAGCACATGGTCGGTGAGTACTGCAGACACAGACACAGGGTGGAAGTGGGTGTGGTTACTTCCAAAACAAACCAAAGAAGGTGAAACACCAGATGGGACCTTTCATAAAACTTGGAAGGCTCCTTCTATATTGCTTTAATAGAATATACAGTATGTTTTGGTTTGCTCCATTCTCCAGCTAAGACATATTCACCTTTAATTTTCCCCACCATATTGTGTGGTGATAGATAGATACAGTAGATTTTAGGTGTCCAGCAGCAGAGACACATCCATACAAAGTTACAAACACATAAGTACATGTAAGTACTTACATGTACAACACTATGTGTTTGTAACTTTGTATATACATTATAAGCGTTTCTAACTAACAAACAATAGTGCACATCTTGAACTCAGACTCAACTCAGATGTGTGTGTGTGTGTGTGTGTGTTTGTGTGTGTAGCTCACACGAAGGACATGCCGTTCACCTGTGAGACGTGTGGGAAGTCGTTTAAGCGCAGCATGTCCCTGAAGGTGCACTCTCTGCAGCACTCTGGGGAGAAACCCTTCAAGTGTGAGGTCAGAGCTGCTGCAAACACACATATGTATTATTCACTGTGAAAAGCACCACTAAACTATCATTTCCACCCATGAATATTCCTGACAGAACTGCAGCGAGCGTTTCCAGTACAAGTACCAGCTGCGCTCCCACATGAGCATCCACATCGGTCACAAACAGTTCATGTGTCAGTGGTGCGGCAAGGACTTCAACATGAAGCAGTACTTTGACGAGCACATGAAGACACACACTGGTATGAGACACACACTCTTTATAACCCATAAAGGCACACACTCAGAAATACAATTTTTTTCGTCTTTCTTTAAAAAAAAAAAATTAGATTAGATTATGACTAATGAAAGACATGAAATTAAATCTTGGATTACTACTTTCCATATGAACCCTAGTGATCCCTGCTTTTTGGATAATCAGTGTAATCCTCTTTTATACATATCATGCTCTGGTCAGCTGTACTGTATATGACAAACCTGGACCGTTTTGATTCAGTTTGAACATTTAAAATCTCAATATTGTTCTGAAACAGGCATGTCCGAACTCAGTACCTAGTTGGAAAGCTCAGGATCTCTGGAATCCATTTTGTTTGAAAATACTGATTTGTATTTGATTGTATGATTCTATCGTATCTGTAAACATTTGTCATTCTGCCAACTTCAGCTCTGTCAAATGTGAATTAATATAGACATTACATACCTCATTTTAAAGCTCTTCGGTTTCAGGGATTCACCTTTAGTCTGTTTCACATGAAATTTCAGAAAAAAAAACTGTGGCACCTAAATGGTTAACAAAATAATGAACAATTGTGAAAATGGTTTGTCCCATTTCCAATGACCAAATGACTCATAGTGTCTTTTTTGTTGTGCAGGGGAGAAGCCGTACATCTGTGAGATCTGTGGGAAGAGTTTCACGAGTCGTCCCAACATGAAGCGTCACCGGCGCACGCACACGGGCGAGAAGCCGTACCCCTGCGAGGTGTGCGGCCAGAGGTTCCGCTTCTCCAACATGCTCAAGGCCCACCGCGAGAAATGCTTCAAACTGAGCTCCCCCCAGGCCCCAGAGAGCGCGGACCAGCCTACCTCTCCTGCCTCTGATACCTCCAGTCAGCTGCAACTAGTGGCCACATCAGGAACTGCACCCACCAACCAGAATCTTCTCCCCGCCGCCCAGATGCCCCAGCCTCTACAGCACTCTGCGGGGGGTCGGTCTCAGTCTCCTCCTCAGCTCCCCCCTCCTCCGCCGCTGTTCTCTTCTGGAACAACTTTCTCACCATCGGAACGCACTTTCTTAGGCGAGCGGCGACAACACGAAGGTCTCAGAGGAAAACACACACCTATCGCAAACTCGTTTTTTACAGAGTGAATACAATAGAAAACCTCAGATTGTAGCTGGACTCACACACGTCGCTTCTCTCCTCTTTGATTGGCTGGTTTGACCTGCCGTATTCTAGTACTAATGATACTACAGATCGTGCACAACTAACGGATTGTAGCTGCCTGAAAGTTTGAAGGCAATATCCGCCGTCAAATCCACGACCATGAGATGATTTATTTTGTATTGCCTTCTGCCCAGATGTAGCCAGATGTGACCCAGCAATAACCAAATGCTGACATTGTAGTCTCTTTAGTGTGACTGTGTATACGGCATTGACAGTAACCAAATCCTGTTAACTCTTGTTATAGTTATATAATGTTCTAGAACATTTATAATCAGCTCTTGCACCTTACATTTTCTCCTGTGATATTCTCCTACTTGTCTTCATTTTCCTGTTACGTAGGAAGGAGTGAGTTGTGTGTTAATGTGGAATTGAAATCCACTGTCTGAGCTCCGAAGTGGAGAGAAAGCTGTTTGTTTTGCTTACATTAAGCAACCTACCACAGTGAAGCACTTTACTGTGTACACGCTCCTGTACTGCCACCTACAGTATACTGTAGGGAGGGATAAAGTAATATCATATATTAACCAGTAGTTTGGAACTCATTAATCAATCCAAGTAGCTACATAATCAGCAGACGTAAGTTTAGGAAATGACAAAACCTGCTGAAATAACTGTGCACATGTTTTATTTGATAATGTTCTCTATAATGTGAACGGTATTATGTAAACCTACATCTCTGTTATGACAATTGGCATTGGAGAGCTTGCTCTTTAGCGATGCAATAGACTTCTTATATTTAGCTGTAATAATCTGCCCAACACAAGCCCTATATGCACTTTTGCAAAGTGGTGGTGTTTAACATAACACATTCAATTGCCTTTATATTTTTGGTTCTGATATTACCTGACATTTCTGTTCAAAACTGATTCTGTCCACAAAACCTTGGAAAGACAGAGGTTGGAGCGTATCATTGTGTTGCATTGCACTGTTATCCATACAGTGACTTTCCTTATGTTTACATGGAGCTGCTGTGCCCTGTGCACTGGTGACGATGAGGGACTGTGGAGGAAGAGTCCGTCTTAAAGTTTGTGTTGATTGGATCTCGCATTAAGCACCTTTTCACTGACTAAATGCTCGTTTGTGCATTGCCAGTATGTTAGCCACATTTTGTTTCTATTTCATTATTTTGATCAAGTACATGTACGAGAAATTCTGACTATGCCACAGAAACATAGACATTATGTTGCCTTCTAGTGATAGAAATGGAAAACTGCAGAGTACAAAGTTCTTTAAGTGGTGGATTAGCAGCACAAACCCAATCGCCAAAGTTACCATGGTCAAAGAAATGTCTATTTGCCTTATATTTGGTAGAAACTGAATGTTGTTCAAACAATGTTGATGTTGGGTATTTCTAATTACTACTGATTTATGCACTTTGAAGTTTCCCTTGTACTTTAGGATTTGTGTGTACTTTCCAAAGGCACAGACCGATACTTTGAAAATAATCCAAAATACCTAAAATGTGGCTCTGATTTGATCAAATGAGTTTATTGTGGTTTTGGCCTTTGGGACAAATGTTGTGAATCAAAAGAAAGCACTTCACATGTTGCATATCATTGAAGGCATGTTGCCAATGAATCCAAAATATAAAGCACTTTAACTTTTCAATCACATAGCAGCAAAGCTGCTGCAATTGGAAAGTTACAAAAAATGAATTTTGTACAATTGATCACTACTAACTAATAGCACACAACCAAATGGAGCCAAACCAAACGGCATGTTACAAATGGTCAAACTTTAAACACTATAATAATTATTAATACTATTTGTTCCATTTTACAAAGTCACTAAAAAGTCTACTAAAACAGGAGTTTACTTTGTGAAAAAGTACATTTTGAGTTCTCTTGAAGTTGTAGAAAACACTATTGATTATAAGAAATCCTTAAATCTGTGGTGAGGAGTTGTTTTGCACTGACTGGAAGGTGGACTTTGATTCGCTCATTTTCACCCAAAATGCAGCTGTAGGCTGGAATGAGGTGTTTGTATTCAGCTGAGGCTGTCTGGGTTTCAGAGCAAAATGCAGTTTAGATTTGCTAAGAAAGAAGAGTGGGATCATCAGATAGAGGTCTTTCAAAAACAGAAGTTAGTATTTATGTTGCATTTTTCTGATTCCATTACAGATCATCAACAATGTCCACTTACGATCGCCCGAATTTAAGGTGTCTCTGTTTTGGCTCAAACTCAGACTGTTTTTTTGTAAAGTATCAAACTATCTTTCCCCTTGTGTACAGTGTCAACAGAACTATATACAATACTCGATGTAAAGGACTAATAGTAGTGGTGCTAATAACAATAGATTGTAATTCTGTCTTTACCTGTACAATTGACTAGTGTTTCCTGTCTGTAACACCGCAGAGCATAATAAAATCATTTCAATATTAAACCCATACTACACGCTGATCTGATCTTGGCCTGTTCACTTTACCATGTATACGGTAAATTCAATTTGAATTCACATTTATAATCACAGGTTTCAGATACATTACATTTTGTGCACATCTTTTTGACTCTCCATATAAATGGGGTCCCACATTTAATTAACAAACACATTGTGGAAAGTCATGTATTGATAAGTGAATAAAAGATAGAAATACTGTGCTACCATCTTTTAGAATTCGGGCGTCACAGATTTATTCAGTACAGTGCAATGAGGAAATACAGTGTGTTAGGTCTGTTATCAAAATAGGTTAATCTTTTAAATCCACAATCAGTAAAAACAGTCATAAGTAACAACAACAACTTCAAAAGTTACATCTTTGTGAGACGCAGTGTGTTGAGTCGAACTCCAAGAACAGTTGACCCAGTGGCATATTTAATTTCTCTCAGGACACCGGTCCACTGTTGATCTGATTCATTGTACCTGAAAAAACACACACACACACACACACACACACACACACACACACACACACACACACACACACACACACACACACACACACACACACACACACACACACACACACACACACACACACACACACACACACACACACACACACACACACACACACACACACACACACACACACATTCTCTTAAGTAAGGCAAGACAAGGCAAGTTTATATATATAGCACAATTCATACACAAGGCAACTCAAAGTGCTGAACAAAACAAGATAGCATTAAAATCATAAATAATCACAGTACATTAAAAAGAACGATAAAATTGGTAATTAACGGAGAATCAGTTTTAATCTCTCGTCTGCCGTGTCTCACCTCCAAATGTCGTTCATTTCTTTGGGCACCATGTCGTCGCTGTCTTGCAGAGGCATCATGGCAAACCCACCGACTGCATACAGTGTTCCAGCCAAAGACAGAAGGTTTAGTGAACTGCGCTCCTGAAGAAAGGGCTCACAGTCTGACCACCTGTCCACAAACATTCATTTAGTGTCCTTCATCATGTTTCACCTTTAATGTCCTCACTACTCGACGTACTTGTTTGTGGCGATGTCGTACACCTCCACAGAGTCGGTCAGTCCATCGTCCGTGACTCCTGTTGCCACAAAAATCTGGTCTTTATGAACCGCGGCACCAAATAATGATCGACTTGTCTTCATTGGGGCCAGTTCTCTCCATTCGAACCTTTTGGCATCGTACACACACATCTTCTTCAGACACTTCCTAGAAAAATCACAATGTTAATGTTGCAGATATATGTACAGTATATACAGTAAAAGAATCAGAAAATACATACTTGTTGTCTCCCTTTCCCCCAATGACATAGACCATATCGTTGTGTGACACTGTTGCATGTCCATATACTATATACGGAATAGGCTCACATTCTCCCCATTTAAACGACCTGCAAATAAGGGTGAACAGTGATATCAATCATTTCAATATTTAAATGTTAGTGATAATTGTTGAATGTATACGTACTGTCTGTCATATATAAGAACAGAGTCCAGTGTTTGCTCCTGATCCTTCAGCTCCTTCCCTCCCAAAACAAAGATGGAATTCTCAGCCTCGCCAAAACCAAACAGGAAACGTGGCGAGGGCAGCGGAGGCATGCCGAGCCAGTCCGCCGTCATAGGGTCATACTGAGGACACACAGAGTAGGCATTTCTATCATTTTATATTTCATCGTTTTATATTTGTGTACTTGTTTGCTCCGTCCAGACTAATTCTAGGCAATGTGGGTGAAGTGTTTTGCCTAGGGACACAACAACAGTGTGGCACTTTACAGCCGCAGCCTCCCCTCTGTGGCACCTGGTGTTTGCAGAGGTCTCCCGTCACAGTACTCATCAAGCCTTGTCCTGCTTCGCATCAAAGGTCTGACAGGATCCGGCTTTCCCATGGAATTGTCACCACAGAATAGCTTCCACCTATTTTCCTGTTTTTCTTCACAAAATAACTTCATGAATGTAAAACTTACTTATTCTTTCAACAGGTTTCATTCCACCCAAAAAGGTCAAAAGAATGAAATAATAACATCTGTTTTATGCACTTAAAGATGCTACAATGTCTGACCGACTACAGTATCACTATCTCCAAGACTATTTCTATCTTCCCCAAAATGCACTTTCACTTAATCACCTGCAGGAAATACGAACACATCTGATTGTCGTCACTCTGCTCGTCGAAGAACAGTCCTCCGGCCACAAAGACCTGGTTCTCTTTGGTGACCAGACTGACGTGGTTCTTGGGGATCTGCGTGGAGAGAGACGCCAGGAAGCAGTCGTTCCCCGTCGGGTCGTACGCCACGGCCCCAGCATCGTTGATCATCAGTATCAAGTCCCGCCCGAACATCCCAAACCTCATGTTGTCATTGAGGATGCCAGGTAGAAGCCCGTCTTCCTCCTCCTCCTCCTCCCCTTCTGCCTCTTTACTCTGCTTTTTGCTGACCTCTGGCATCTTCCCAGCCCGTGCGTCCCAAACCATCTGTAGCTTTTGCTTTAATTCTGGATTAGATTTAAATAGAGTGTGTGTTTCCACTTTATCCCGCAGGTAATCCTCTGTCACAAGTCGCAAACGTACGCAATCTATCAAACCGGGCAGTTCTTTCACCCTGTTTTCGAGATCTTTCGACACCCACGTCATCAGCGCCTCAAAAACCACCTCCTCTGTCTCCACGTTGAGGTTGTCGCTGGATAAAATGGCAGCAGCTTCACTCGGGAGCAACTGGAAAAACTCTTCATCCCTGGAGATGAGTTGAAATCGCTCCGTGGCGTAGTTTCGAGCGGACACGGCGAGCCTGGGACAGTCCAGCATCAACCCCAACCTGAAAATCGCCAGGCAGTTACTGAGACTCAATCGCTTTTGGAGGAAAGACACACAAACTGTAAAAATGGACGGGATCTGGTACATGTTGGCCACTGCAAAAATGTCCTGCACGTTTTGCTCTGTGACGTTGATTTGAGACGTGTAGAGATATTTGAGGATCAACCCCATGACGCCTGGTTCCACATCTTCTAACACGACTTCCTTCTTCTTGCTTTCGTCCAGGTCAGACAGGAATATGGCACGGAAGTAAGAGCTGCAGGCGCACAAGACGAGCCGGTGACAGGGGAACTCCTTATCCTTGATTTTCAGCTTACAATCCACAAGTTTGTCATTCTCCAGTAGATCATAAAGACCGTCTTGTAGTAGCGTTTGCTGGTACACCCTCGACTCGTCCATCGGGTTGACCGGTGCCGCCATGGTGCAGTGAATGAAAAAGAAGTTTGGGCCTTTTGAGCGGCGAGAAAGAAAAGACAGAAAGCCACTGGGTGAGTTCTCAGGCCACACCAGCTGATTCTCATATGGGTACAGCCCTCTTCCTCAGCTGTCCCAAGCCTTCAACCCGGCTACAAATGGTGGCTTATTTATAGTGTGCAGGCTGCTAGGGGCTTTATCCCAGAACCTGAAACCCAACATCTGAACTCATGGCCCAAACCTGGAACATCCCACACACAGCTGATACAATGGAGCATAGAGGGTTTGTCCGGTGAGTCATGGAGGCCTGTTTTGGTTCTGTCATAAGGGCTCAGTCATGTTGCTTCCAATCAGAACTGCATCTTCTTGTTATCTTCTAGTGATTTTCATTTACTCATACATTGGTTTCAACACATAGTTTACGTGGAAAGAAGTTGTAACGTTGTTACAACTGCTATTGACAACTTTTGTTGTCTATTTTGCATTATTATTATTATTTTCTAATCATATTTATGTTTACTATTCAGAGAGCAGAATGAGGCTCTCATTTGTGTTGACCAGTTTGTTATAACTGGTTTTTACCCCATTTTGTTATTTTTTTCAAACAACAAAATTCACAAACAAAGTAATAGTACCCCACATTTGTTTAAATGAAAGCAGAGACAATAATAAGTAGTTATAAGTCGTAATACAGAGTTTGTACCGTTTCTAGAGAAACATAAAAGTTGGACTGTTAATTGTGCATATTACATAGGGTCCCTTTAAAAGAACTTTTTAAACTCCCATTTCTTTTCTAAAAATATGCAGAGCTCACATTGGCCTGTGCCAGGACAGGATACAAACCCACAACATTCTTGTGAGACCTGATCTGTAACCACTCAGCCACAGGATATAACTAAGTGGGAACAATCAAAATTCAAAGTCACCTACATGTTCTTTTGTGAACATCACGGAGGGTTTTGAACAATGTTCTTTTCACATAAGGTCAGATGTGTGGACGCGGGAAAGTTTCACAGCTGCATCTGCTAACATGAGCTAAATCAGTGTCATTAAAGGCACAACACAGTATGTGACAATGGGAAAGTTGGTCACGCATCACTAATTTATGATTAAAAAAGTACAGCCAAGCATTTGAAATAATTATTACTCATTTTATTTTGCATAAACCTTAAAGATTTCATTGAAAAGCAGTGCAGGGACTTCCACTATTTGTGCTTTTTGAGCCCCTGATATTAAGCAGTTTGTAATAGTGGTGGTAAACATGAAACATAAGTCATTCAGCCTTCTCTTTGTCCGGCTCAGGGGGGGTCTCAGCAGCGTCTGCAGGAGGCTCAGGGTCCGGATCATCAGCCAGCGCTTGCCTCCTCTCCCTCTCCTTTATCACCTGCACCAGGCAGTACGTCACAAACAGAACCATGACAGTGGTAATAGGGAAACCTGCAAACACACAAATCATATTACCATGTGCAGAAAACAACAATGGAAATACTATAAATGCATTCTGGTTACCTTTAAGAAGCAATCTTTTAGCCACCATCTTAGCAAAGTCCAGACTGTTCAAGGCCAGAATATTAAACAACACAATTAACCAAAAGTTAAACGCATTAAAGGCTGCTCTTAATCTTCTGGATCCTGCTGCTGACATCGCGGTCTGAGAAGAAAACATCATTAGACCTATGTCCATGTATTGCATATAAAAGCAGCTTTTTCACTCACTGACCTCAAAGGACAAAAAAGGCTCCATTGAGAAAATCTTGGCAGCCCACAGCTCAAAGTTAAGGCCAAAACAATTGAAGAAAGCCCAGATGAGGACGACTTTGCAGGGCCCAAGCCAGAGGATGGTGACTCCATAAGTGCACAGCGAGGCCATCAGCTCCTGCAGCACGGTGTCATGGCTTCCTCCCAGAGGGTTATACACATATCTACAAAAACATTTACTTTCATCAGAAGGCCACTTTGTACAATAAACATGATTACTGGGCATTCATCTTACTTGCAAAGCCAGTCATTGATTCCTCTGTCAAAGTGACTATCAAAGGCATACAAAACGTTTAGTTTCAGTCCTACTGTAGCGAGATTTATCATTCTTGTGGAGCAGTCTAGGTTTCCACTCACGTTTCAGAAAACATATAAAGCAGAGTGATGCATTTTGGGGGCTTGGGTGGGTCCAGGTAATCCAGTCTAGCAACTGTACTGATGACTCCAAACATGACAGCTGCTTTGACCCAGTCATACACAAGGTTCACGTAGGCCAGCCCCACTGGAAGTGACAGTCACAGTTTAGAATGATTCATTACTATTTGGTTTAATTTGTCACACGTAGAAGAACAGACGTAGAGCCCAGTCTGAGAGGTGCTTCAGGAGCTTCAGGTCTGTGGGTATGGTCAGGATATACAAAAAGTGAAAGAGGATGTCCACCACAAGTATGATGGCCACATTTAAGAGCCCATGAAGACTAATGTTCCACATCTCTCTCTCCTTTCGGCTCATGTCACTCCTGTTGACCTGCAGAGGGCAGCACACACACAAACACGCACACGTACACACAAACACATGCACACACACGAGACAGTGAGGAGATGCTTTATCTCAGAACTTGCCAAAGACTGCCCCTTAAAGGCTGGATTGAAGTCTTGAAAAAGAGACCAGAGAGGTCTGCACTAAAATCACTTTATGTGAGTGTTACCTGGGCATGGAACTGGTCAAAGGTCATGATGGGCCCGAAGTAGAAAAATGGGAGGTAGAAGTTGTATTTCAGCAGCTCCAGGATGTTATAGTTTCCGTCTTTTTTCTCACAGTTCTCCAGTGCAAAGCTGATGCAGCGCATGATGGTGAAGCCGCAGCCTCCGTAGAAGAGAACATTTCTCAGCACAAAGTCGCCCTCCACAAAACCTGCCTAAGACGATATAAGAAATCTAAAGATACATATAGTACAATCAGTGGCCACTGTGTCCTTGCACTTGAGTCTATTTACCTGCCAGGACACAAAGGGCTCACACTTGAATGAGGCCAGAGTGCAGAGACCGGTGACGAGGCAGAGCCAACGGATCTTCACCAGAGAGATGCTGTAGAGCAGGATGCAGTGGGACAGCATCAGGGTCACATAGGTCCAGCCCATACTGGTCCAAACGGCCAGGACTCCATAGACCAGGAACACCAGGGACCTGTACTGTGGAGGGCCGCAGTCAGCTTGTCACTCAAAGGTTCTATGTTACTAATAATACATGACAACATTACAAGCACCACAAACACAATAATGATTCAGATTATGTTTGGTTTTGTCAGTCACCTGCGGAGCCAGCATGGTGCAGAGCTTGGCGAAGAGTATGTGTCCAGAAAGAGCGAACAAGATGTGAGCCCTGAACGTAGAAAACCACATCACCCACTCAAAGTCAGCCGTGTCCTACAAAGAAACGTTAATATCTCAGGACGATGCTATATACAGTATGACTCGATAATGTCAGCTCTTTAGACAAAATCCTCACCATTTTCCTCCCAAAGTAGTGCCATCCGGGCTTAATGTTGCTTTTGAATGTTTTCCTATTGGTATTTGCTGGAAATAAAGACAGATTTTAGACCATAGATCAACTTCATCCACTTTGTATTTTGGAAAAGTGGCAGCATGTGTCTGTGTAGTGTCAGAATGGACACTTGATCTGCTCTGAATACTCCACATAACTCGGACTAAACAAACCCTCTGCCCCCCTTGGATGTGTCTTTGTATATAGGGGTAAAATAAACACCATAGATGTATAGTTAGCTGGTGTAAAAATAAATGTAATCGTGACAGCTAGTTGGGGTGGCAGTATTTATATCGACACAGTACTTCTTTGATCTGTGTTGGTGATCTCAATGGTTTTGTTAAGTCCTCTGAGATGACTGCTGTTGTGATTTAGGGCTATTACATGAATAAATTGTATTGCATTGTAATCAGTAGGAGGACAGTTATGGATGTTTATGAACATTTAGAGTGCTATATTTACTGTCTTATAATTGTTTTATTCTCTAATCAGTTGTTGGAAATTTCACCATTTTGTAAGGTCCTCTGAGACAACATGGTTCAGGGTGATAAAAAATAACGCAAATAACTTAATTTAATTAGTTATTTGTGTTTTGTTGACATAATAAATACAGCTCCTCATTATGGTCAAACAGAGAACTGAAATGTAAGATAAGAGATATGATTTATTTCCTTTAAGGAAATAACGACAGGTTCTGGATGTTCACTGTTTATCCAAACATATGAGACCCATGTTTGCACAGTGTGTTCTTCACACTCACCACTGGACACGTCAAAGATCCAGCTGCTGGCCCAGAGCAGGGCCACACTCAGCACTGTGTTGTAAAAGTACAGTTCATATTTGGGAAGCGCGGCTTTGATCCCCATCGTGGCTCAGAGAGATCAGCTCCCTCCTCTCAGCTCCCTCCTCTCAGCTCCCTCCTCTCAGCTCCTAAGCAAAGAGAGAAGTTACTTCACAAACATCTCAGACATAATGGACGGGTGTGTGTGCACCTGTCTCTGTCATATCCTTCTAAGAAAGTGTTGTATGTATCTTTAAGACATTTAGTGATCTCAGGACTTTGACACAGGAGTTATTCACTGGTGCCAGAATAATACAACAATAATAATAATTATGAAAAATGTATATAACAATATTAATTAACAAAAAAATCTAAATTCAACTAGTTTTATTTTATTAAATCAAGAGGAAATGAATTATTATTACTACTATTATTATTAATATTATTATTATTATCATTATTATTATTATTATCATCATTATTATTATTATCAATATTATTAATTGATTGGCCAGGCGTGCTTTAAAAACTGAAAGGAAAGAAGGAAAGACTGATAAACACTTTATCTCTGTCTGATAAGCTCCTCTGGAGAAAGTGAGAGCAAACCGGCAGCGGAAAAGAAAACTCAAAGGAATGAGACTCAGGACAAGCTTCAGGTTGTACTTTTATATCTATAACCTGCTTCACTTTTGCTGCAGGTGCAAAACCAGTCAAGCTTCCTGTTTCCGGAGAAGAACTTTTCTGAATGAATCGACCCAAACTCTGAGAACAGACCCCAGCAGAACCCACTAGAACCCAGGCCTAGTGCGGCTCACACTGTGTCCTGCTGATACTGACCTTGACCGCAGCAGCTGACGCTCCTGATGCCGCTCCTGATGACGCTCCTGATGACGCTCCTGATGCTGCCGCGTCCTCACGGAGATACTTTACTTCTTTCTAAACCTGTGCGAATCTTAACAAAAGTTCTGCTCCTTGTTTTTGCTCGAAGAGGGGGCAGCGGTCCAATGACCCCCGTGTGGGAGCCTCCGCTGCTTAAAGGTGAACAAATGTATTTATACTTTGACACAAGCTGCTGGGGGCGGGACGGGGGCTCTAAATCAGGACAATAGGCATCAAGAAACTCTATACCACAGGCCTGCTGAGCCCCACAGACTCACACTGAACCAGACCACTGCAAAATAAAGCCTTGAAGATCAATGTTCATTCATATATTGACTTCATTATAGTTGCTTCTCTTCCATAAAATGTCTCTTACAAAACTTCTTCTTATAATAAAAGACACACAACACATTGCAAAAAAGCCCTTTATGAAATGTATGATTTTATCACAATGAATACTGCAAAGGATCTAACAACATGTAGAACAAAGCATTGTAAACAGGGCTGAAACAATTAATTGTAACAAGTTATTTTACTTATCAATTAATCATTAACTGCTTCATTTACAAGCTCTTACACATGTAACACTGAGATGTGATGTCAAGAGGATTTTCCTCCAGCGACTTCATTTCAAATTTAGATAATCATGACATTATGCAGGTTCTGAATAACTAATTGATTAATAACCACATTAATAGTCTGTAAAAATAATCATTAGTTGCCATCCTAATTGTAATGGGTGTTTTAGGGTTACAGCTTGAAGACAGAAATGTACCTGTCAGGGATGAAGCAGACAGAGACGGATCGTGGTGCGCCAAACTCTGGAAGTTTATTTAAGTTTCTCTCAAGTTCCAGTGGTTTCAATTGTTTCTTTCTCCCAGACAGAATGGAGTCAGTACAGTTTATATAGTCATTGTCACGTCACACATCGAAAGACATACGTGTCACAAAGAGACAGTCACATCATAGTCATAATAATCAGAGTCCTTGTACAGTCCTGCACGTAGGCCATATTACTATCTAATACTAACATCACCCCTTTGATCACATAATCACATGTGATCACTCAATTTGATCAATCAATAAAGTGGAAAAAAAAAACTTTTAAAAATTATTAAAAAACAAAGAAAATGTATGCATTAAACTCATAATCATCCAATCAATATCAGTGGAATTTATCCTCTATCCTGGGAAAAAACAAAACAAAAAAAGTAAATAAATAAACAAACAACAAACAAAAACAAAAACAAATCAAAAATAAAAACAAACAAAAACTATTGGACACACAAGAACTCAGCAGATTCAGTCAAAACACAGACAAAAACGAACTGAGTCTCAATTAAACGCTAATTTCACTTTTATTACTCTATACTTTTATTCTAATGCTGATTGTTTACACTTCACTTCACTGTATTGTTTTCACTTTTTAATCTTAGACTGTGTACTTTACTTTTATGATTCACTATAGTTTAAAACTATTCTAATCTATTTACAAATATGTTTGCATATTTGCTTTTATTGAGCCATATTCTTAAACATACATTTTAATCTAATAAATCTCTCTGTGGTTTTACACTCTCATTATCAGTGGCTTTGTGCTTGTGGGATTTTGCTCTATGTGTAACTACTCTACATTCTCAGGAATAAAGCTGTGAACACAGTAAGACAAATGGTTAATATGAACATTATTATGGCGGTCAGTTTTCCAAATACATTTGTTTAACCAGGAAGTGCTGTCACTTCCTCCTCTCCGGCAGTTTGGGATGATTGTACATCATTAATGAAATTGGTATTATCCTTACAAGAGCTAATCTATTTTAGCAGGTTTGGGGTTGGGGTCTACAATGGTGTTTGATTCTCTAATCTGTGCTGGAAACTTCTCAAAGATCAAAGTGCTTTTAAATCTCTGTTGGTTGTAATCTATCTCATTGATCTAGGCATTAATCTAGGCTACACTCATGAACTTTTTGCATTGTCAACATTCACAGATGTTTGAACACAAGTGAATTTGACAGTATCTAATAAAACTGTACATAAAACTGTAATTAACTTTATCTACTTTTGAAGTAAATGTTTGTGAAATGGTCCCTTTACTATTCAAATATTAGCACTGGCTAGAAATATTCTCTATTTTTGAAAGCATCTATGGTTGATGCATTTATCTATTTCTACTCTATTGTGACTCCAAAGCTCCAAAGCTAGGCCTGGGTCCAAATGAAACTATTCAAAATGTCCAAGTATATGAACACAGCACGGCTATGGGAATATTTGTTTTAAATATATTTTCAAAAATATATTAATCTTATAAAGAACTAAATGCACTGAAATGAATGTGGAATGATTTTTTTAAGTGTCCATTTCATGAATCCTTTCTGTTGGTCTCTTGTCCTTCAAAAATGGGGAACTTTTTCTCCACTTCCTCCCAGGTTAAAACTCCACTCGCCAAATCCCGGACCACAGCAGGCAGCACAGCGACCTGAAAGACAAGTTTGTAAGTAAAGCAACCACACGCAGACACAAACATAACATGTGAACGCAGAGAGAGCGACTTACTTCAGCCCGGATCTGCCTCATGGAGTCCCGGTCCCTCAGAGTGGCTGTGTGTGGAGATTTGTTCACCGTGTCAAAGTCTATGGTGATGCCAAAGGCCACTCCGATCTCATCTGCTCGGGCATAGCGCCTCCCGATGGAGCCGGAGGAGTTGTCTGTTTTATGAGATACTCCATACCCAGTCATCTCTTGAGCTGCAAAGACACGAGAAACACAACTCACATTCTCTCATTCATGTATCTATGGATTATATTGGTTATACTTACAAAGTTGGTGGATAAAAGGCATGAACTTCTGGTTGGGGCTCAAAGGAAGGATTGCGCACTTGTACGGGGACACAGGGGCAGGGAAGCTGAAAAACTGATCGAAAAAATATAAAGTTTGTACATGTTTGACAGGTTTGTGGATAAAGAAAAGAGGCTATTGTCTGAACTGGAAATAACAATAATATCCATTTCCTCTTTTAGGTAAATAGATAGAGCTATATGCAAAGTGTCTTTACAGAGTTATAAACCACGTTACAACATTGTTTCCTCACAAAAAAAACAGACCTGAAGTTGTTTTTAGATCCATTCGAGCTAAAATGGCACAAAACTTCTGCCCTTTTTATTTGAAGCTCCCGTCTCAGTCTGATCATATGATGTCATTGTACCATTACATCACTAAATATGACATCACACTCATAGCAGTTTTCGGCCTTTTTAAAACAAAAGTGTTGCCCGTATTTTATTTTTTAAAGAATTATCCAATTTTGAAAAAAAACATATTCAACTCTTCCCTCTGGTGGTAGCATAAGGAGTTAAATTTTTTCTCAAGATTAAAAAAGTCTCATTATATTTTTACTGGCCAGAAACAATGCATAATATTCATTTCAAGTCAAAGAGTGAAAATACACTCAAGAACTAAAACACAGATTTCTATTTAACAATTTTTGGGGCCCAGAACTTGAGTCTCAGTCAAGTTTCCCAGAATAAAAGGCTTAGAATGGTAAATGAATCCTCTTGGTACTTACAGTTCTCTGCTCATCTCCTTGTCGGACTTGAAAGGAGTGTTCAAAAATGGAGTACATGATCCGTCCGATGCCAAATGACGGCTCGATCACGTTGGGAACGATCTCCTCCACTGGAAACAAAGACATTTATTTTTCCTATTAGTAAAAAGTAAACAGTAATCCTCCTGCTAAAATTAAGTTAGAATGTCTGACCGTGCAGTGTCTTCTGAAACCTCTTCACACTGACCATGTCTTTAGTTAAAGTGAAAGATCGTCCTTCTGTTTCAACCGTGAATTCACTAAAACAACAACAAGAGAGTTTACTTCACAACAGCAACATCATTTAGCGTCACATTCCCACAACTCTGCATCCACTTGACAATGAAGCATTTGAGAATTCTAACAAAAGTCTGTGTGAACAAAAGCGTTGGTGTGTCTTGGTCTTGCCATGTGTGTGTGTGTGTGTGTGTGTGTGTGTGTGTATGATATTGCATGTGTTTTGTTGGAGGGTATTGTATGGTTTTAATTCTTTATTTTAGTTTTTATTGTATGTGTTTGATTGGCGCGGAGGGGATTGGATTAAATTACGCCTTTTGCCTCGACCAATCCCTTTTCGAACCATGCACAGGTTTTCTTGTTTACTCCTATCATACATTTTTGGGTGAATAATTGTTTGTATATCTCGTGCATGTTTGAAACAAATTAAAAGGAATTTCACTCATTTATTATTGCTAAACCTGTTATTACAAAACTGTGGAAAGGGTCAACACTTTTGGATTTTGGATTAACCCAACTTTTTCATTTTTGCGCTGTTACATAACATTTAGCGACGTACAGTAATGCAATCCAATCATTATCACTCACCCCTTTTCATTTAGAAGCTTCTCCTGCTCACTTATGAAGCACTCGTCGCAGACAGACAGAAAATCCAGGATTAACTTTGCCTCTTTTTTGTATTCCTTCCCAATGGTGGCTTTGTTGGCTTCAAACTGCGTCACATCCACGACTTTGTGCGAAGTCGTTAAGGAGAGTATTTGTGGCACAGTACATCACACCTATTCCAACATGTCTCAGTAAAAGCAAAGGATATGGGTTCTTTTAAAGTCTTCTCTGCCACTAGAGGGACTCTGGTGGCTCGAGAGTGACAGGTGAGATCATAGCATGAGCGATCGGCACATCCCACAATCTCAATCCAGCCCTGGGAAGCAAAGGTCATGCTGATGATTCATTCATGATTTAAAGTATGCTATTGTGTTTGTTTTTATATAATTTACTGACCTGTTCTAATATTTTTTATTATTTTAACTAATTCTGTTTGCATGGTTTTCCGTTGGCATTTTACATCTTGTCTCTAGGGACTACAGTTGGAAGTATAGCTAACTCTGACACATTTACTGTCATGTTGATTCATGTGTACTGTCCCCATTCAAATAAACTAATAAATAAAAACATAAAAATGATGTCCATATCACTATCAAGATGTATTTTAAACAGAATCTGACGTGGGCTTACATAGGAGGTGAGAGACTCGGCGTCCCAGCAGTCGCAGGCGTAGTGAGCCATCTCGTTTTCCATGTGCTGTCGGAAACGTACTTTATCCTTGGAGAGACCCACTTTGAGGAGATACAAATAAATCCGGCCAATGAAGTAGCCCAAGACTGAGTTATTGATGACTCCCTACGGCAGAGGAGACAAATCATCAACATATACCGTTGAATTTGCCAACACAGATCAGAGAATCAATCAGTTCAAACACAAGAAATGCAATGATAAAAAAAACACATAGAGCCATGGGTTCATTAGGGGCAAATGACCAATGTCCATAAATGTTGATGAATGTTGAGTGTCCTGGATCATTACCACTGTCCTTAGCCCCTCCTGCATCTGCAAGGAAAAACTCTAGTAAAGAAAAAAGCTACCCACCTGTTCCACTGCATCCCCCAGCCTCATGATGTGTGCAGACTGCCCACTGGTTTGGGCTTTTGAAGAGTACAACATGATATCCAAGTCGGCTACATTGGAGAATTTTGGATGGACTTTCTCGTTTGGGTCCACAAAGTGCTCAATCTCAGCCATAGTAAACTCTCTGTATGAATAGTGAAATGTTAAGACTATAAAAACACATGCATTTATCTGTGTAAAAATGAAATTGACAACCAACCTGACACGGATTAGTCCAGAGCGGGGAGAGATTTCATTCCTGAAGGAGTTTCCGATCTGAGCAGCACCAAAAGGAAGCTTGCCTTGGTTAAACTCCAGGAGACGCTTGAAGTTTAGGAACATACCTTGAGCAGTTTCAGGCCTCAGATATCTGCGCACAGACGTCACATGTACCGTGTATCGATGCATGTGTATGTTCATTCATATTAAATAAATTCAATTGTACCCAGGCGTGTTTCCTCCAGGACCAATCGAGGTCTGAAACATGAGATTGAAGGAGGTGGGAGGGGTCAGGTCATTTCCAGTGGAGGGAGACTTGACGTTGTATTTCACAAAGAGATCGGCCAAGTCCTGCTGCGTGTAGTTGTCCATCTGTAATATAATTCATTTTGTATTATTTAGTTGTAAGCAAGTAGTAAGTAATCTTTATTTATATACCGCCTTTCACAGACCAGAGTCACAAAGCGGTTTACAATTGTTATTTTTGGGCATTTGTCCTGGGTTAGGACACAGAGATGGGAGCGGGGTCGCCAGTACAGGAGGTGCATGCCAGACCAATTGTACATATTTTTAGTGGTAGCGAAAACCAGAGTACCCAGAGGAAACCTATGCAGACACGGGGAGAACATGCAAACTCCACTCAGAAAGGCCCTGCTCCGACCGGGATTTGAACCCAGGACCTTCTTGCTGAGAAGCGAGAGTGCTATCCACTCAGCCACCGTTCTGCCCGCTCTCTTTTTGTTTATTTAGATTTGATTGGATTTGAATACTATATTTTGAGCCACACACAATTATAACATTCTGGGCAATACAGAAAGTAAGTAAAATGTAAGTAAGTAATGTTTGTTTATATAGCACATTTTACAGACCAAGGTCACCCAAAGCGCTTTACAATGTTCAGAGTTCAGATATTGTTCCAATCATTCCACACACGGTGATAACGGAAGCGAGTCGCCGAACACACTGGCGCATCAGCACGCAATCGACACCATCCATTCACTCTCTCATTTTCATTCATACCTATTGTGCATGTTTTTAGTGGTAGGGGAAACCGGAGCACTCGGAGGAAACCTACGTAGACACGGGGAGAACATGCAAACTCCACTCAGAAAGGCCCTGTTCCGACCGGGATTCGAACCCAGGACCTTCTTGCTGAGAAGCGAGAGTGCTATCCACTCCGCCACCGTCCCGCGCTGTACCCACACACATGGGCAATAACAAAACCAAGAAAGATACAGGGAGGATCTGTACAACATATATTTTAATTTGGAGAAAAAAGGGTTTGGCTCAAGGGGGAGCAGGAAGAAGAAAACTTTTGTGCTAATCATTAATCATTGTACGTGTTAGCAATAAAAAAACACCCACATTGAATAGGCCACGTTTACTGATGGTGCGTAATAACTGACTGGGGCCATATACAATGAACTTTGATCTTGGCGCACATTTCAATTCAACAATATAAAATAGTCATGAGACACCTCTGCTTCAAAAAGGTTGGTCTAGAGACGATCGATCCAGATCATGATTCCATTAGCCATGAATCATAATATAGATTCGTACTGAAAATGTTTTTGTTGTTGTATGATCTATGACTTTCGGATTCCATAAATTAAATTGATTTTGTTTTTTTAAGGCCAGGACTCACTATTGTATACACAACACTTTGGGATCCTTGCGATATGATGACAGTACAGTATAGCAAAAATCACACATACCTGGGTAATTACGTTGTCCATCTCTGCAGCCTTTGGAGCAGGGCATTTCTCATCCGACATCAGCTTTTTTAGGTGTGCTGCTCCAGAGAATATCATAACAAGTTTATGAAATGAGCAGAGAAAAACACTTCCACCCAATAATCCCCCAGGACATCCAGGTAACTGCTTGTCACAATGAGATATTACATAAAAAAACTGAGATTTCATTATCCTTGCCTCAGAGGAGAGGAGCCTAACTATGTGTTTTAGTGGTGGGGGAAACAGGAGCGCCTGGAGGAAACCTACTATAAAGTCAAAGTTGGGGTTTTGTTGCTTTGTGACGAAAGAACTGGCTGTGTGTATAGATGCATAAAGACATTTTTGAGCATAAGATTACTATTATTATTATTATTGTTATTGACAGTTGTTACAGTGTTATCTTGTGTTGCGTGTTTTTCTATCCCTACCGTCTGTAATGTGCAACAGTGAAATATTTCAAATAAGTGCAAAATAAAGCTCTTATCTCTAATCTGTATTCTCACACTTGCCTTTCAGGAGGTGGTCAGCACGGAAACATTCTCCTGTTTTGGAATCCTTCACCATGTAATCTGCAAATTTATCCACGTGTCCAGATGTCCTGAAATAAATGACATTAATATTTTCAGCTGATTTACTTATGAATAGGTCAAACAGCTGCACTATAAGCGAATATGATCTGATATCGCCAATAGATAGTTGTGGATCAATGTTAAAGTTTCTCCTGGACTCTTGGGTAATCTTAACCCTAATCCTAGTCCTAACCATAGAGAACTCAATATTTAGCCCTAGCCCTCAGCCTAACCCTTACCCAATGACTAATCCTTAATATTTGGATGATATGAGTAAAACCATAAGATTTTACAGATGCACATACTTGAGAACGGGCTCAGGGGTTAACATGGTGCAGTCAATCTCCAGGATCTGCTCCTCCTGAATGAAGTGCTGTCTCCAGACCTGCAGGATGTTGTTCTTTAGAGCACAACCGACCGGACCAAAGTCATACAGGCCGCTCACACCTGCACACACACGCTTTACATTATAGTAAACACACACATGTCATAGACTTATCTGCACCAGCATCATATCTTACCTCCATAAATTGCAAACGCCTGATCATAGAAGAACCGTCTCTTCAAAGTATCCTCCATCTTTGCTCTGTCAACAATCTCATCTTTGGGCTTCAGGGCAAGTTCCTGTCAATGTTATGTGTTAAATGCAGCTATTCACTTTAAACAATCAGAGTCTAAGTAAAAAAAAAAAAAAAATAGACCATACTTTTGCTTCAAGAATCTTTTTCCGAGCTTTGAGTTCAGCCACAGCTTTGTTGATCTCCTGCTCTGGGGCTCCCTGCTCCTTCAGCTGCTGCACCAGGTCTCCCTAGGGGCCCCCATATCAGATACGGCATCATTCAATACTATTCATATTCGGTGAAATCAGGAATACTTCTGTGGTGCTATAAAGATATGATTAAGACAACAAAGCAGTAACGGTTTTAACCTCACTGAAAGTTCTTGTATGAAACATATGAGATAACAGATGCATTGTTATTTGTTACCTGGCCAGATGTGTAGGGTAACAATTATAAAGGCGCTCACCTGTTGCTTTACGGCGTTTCTCAAAGGGCTGAGAACTTCTTCCATTATGGCAGTAGAGAAACCAGTGCTCCTCGCTCTGGACTGGCTGTCTACAAATGCTGCTTTGCTTTTCCTTGGGTTTGTCTCAAAGGGGTGGTGCCTTTCTCTGGCTGCATGAAACTCAAGTATTGTGTTGCATCATGCCGTTTCACTTCTGCCTCGAGGACAATTGCCTGATTGCATCCAAATTCATACAATGCAATGTTCCTAGTCCTTTTCATTTGCCTGAGCAGCATTTAATTAAACCAAAATAAAGTTTCAAAAGTATTACATTTCACCTGATTGAACCTACCAGTTTCATCAAAAGTACACTTTTAACATGAGTTATTTTATGAATTTGGATGCATCCATATTGTTTTGTATGCACTACACTACAAGACTATTCCTTTGATTCCAGAATGCATAGAGTCCCCTGGAAGTATTTCAGGATTTGTGAATGGGTGGAATGAATGTATGCCATTTGGTTCAGTATACCGAATGACACAATTATAACAGTTAAGTTAAACATTTGTTAGTTAAAGAATGATTTGAACACACATGTCCAGTAAGTGCTGGTTTGTTTTATTGAAATAGTTAAATATTTGTATCCAGATTGAGTGAGACCTGGAATGGTGCATTAATTCCTCGTAAAGATAAAGCCAAGTAAGTTTCCTTTTTAAAAACAGCTCAACATAACACCAATGAAATGTTTCTCATCACTCAGAAAAACAGTCCTGTGCAAGCTTCCACAACTGTATATAGGATGAATAGTAGTGACTGGAGATTTGGTGCTCCTGTCCACAATAGCTTATGACAGTATGGTTGCATTTTTAATCCCTGGGGTGCATACACGAAATGATTGTAGGTTCCTTTGTGAGAGTTGAGCAGCTCTACTCCTCAACAGTCAACTTTCCAGTCTCTTGTCCTTCAAAGAGGGGGTACTTGCTTTCCGCTTCGGCCCATGTCATTGTACCATTGGCTAAATCCCTCACGATGTCGGGAAGCTCTGTGACCTGAGAAGAGACAGAACATTAAAGTAACTACTGTTTACAAATAAGCTGCACCGTTAATCCTTTCCAATTTCCCAAAATGTAACCGATACCTCTGCTCTTATCTGTCTCATCGAGTCCCTGTCCCTCAGAGTGGCAGTATGTGGCGTCTTGTTCACGGTGTCAAAATCAATGGTGATGCCAAAAGATACTCCCACTTCATCGGTCCTGGCATAACGTCTCCCGATGGACCCCGACGAGTCATCGACTTTGTGAGACACACCGTTTTTGGTCATTGCCTCAGCTGAACAAAAGCAAAAACATTTATTTTTTTTTGAGTAAGGAACAGTGACAATGTGTAAAAATGGTCGTAAGGCTTCTTTTCAAACTCACAAAGTGCTTTCACATAAGGAATAAACTCCTGGTTAACGCTCAGTGGCAGGATGGAGCATTTGTACGGTGACACAGTGGGAGGGAAGCTGAAATACTGCAGGAACAAAAAACACGCTGTAACAACCCATTAACAAGGATTCCGCACTTAAAATACATATATGTGCTACTTACAGTTCTTTGTTCATCACCTTCTCTGACATGGAATGTGTGTTCAAAGATCGTGTACATGATTCTACCGATCCCAAATGAAGGCTCAATTACGTTTGGAACAACTTCCTCCACTGGACAAACAAAAAGTTACACATTATTATCTAAAACACTTATGTTGTAACTGTTGCTAATAAGGAGCACATTTACCATGAAGGGTTTTCTGTTGTCGCTTCACACTGACCATGTCTTTTGTCAGATTGAACGTTTTGCCTTCAGTCTCGATGGTAAACTCACTGTAACAAATACAATAGTTAGAATTACCATCAGGTCACAGTAACGGAGCTTCGATCAGATGTCGATACTCACCCCGTCTCATTGAGCAGTTTCTCTTGTTCTGTTATGAAGCGCTCATCACAAATTGACAAATACTCCGTGACTAGCTTAGCTTCCTTTTTGTATGTTTTTCCAAGAGCTCCTTTGTTGGGCTCAAATTGCACAACATTTACAGTTTTGTGTGTATTTGTTAAAGAAAAATAATAGTATTGAATAATAAAGTCATCAGGGTTGTACAGATTTACATTGATAAAAGGATATAGGCTCTTTAAGAGGCTTCTCGGCTACAAGAGGCACCTTTGTTGCACGTGCGTGACACTGGAGATCATAGCAGGACCGGTCTGCACAACCCACAATCTCAATCCAGCCCTAAATAAAGAAAAACACGCCATTAGAAAGACCCTGTAGCAGCTACATTACATTTTAATCCGTACTTACGTATGACGTTTTGGCTTCAGCATCCCAGCAGTCACAGGCATAATGAGCCATCTCGTTGTCCATGTGTTGCCGGAATCGCAATTTATCTTTGGCTATACCCACTTTAGTAAGGTAGAGGTAGATCCTCCCAATAAAATATCCCAGGACAGAGTTATTGATTACTCCCTGAAATGTGTCATATGAAAATTAACAGTCTATACAATGACACTCATTTACCAAAAACGGGTTTTGAGAATGCTCACCTGTTCCACTGCATCCCCAAGCCTCATGATGTGTGCAGACTGCCCACTGGTTTGGGCTTTCGAAGAGTACAACATGATATCCAAGTTGGCTACACTGGGGAATTTGGGATGGACTTTCTCATTTGGGTCCACAAAGTGCTCAATCTCAGCCATAGTAAACTCTCTGCATAAAACAAGAGCATTCTATAAATTATAAAGACAAGGGAGAAACAGATAAAGTTATGCGAGGCTCATACCTGACACGAATAAGACCAGAGCGAGGTGAGATTTCATTCCTGAAGGAGTTTCCAATTTGAGCAGCAGCAAAAGGCAGTTTTCCCTGGTTAAACTCTAAAAGTCGCTTGAAATTTAGAAAGATTCCCTGAGCAGTTTCAGGCCTCAGATACCTGTAAATCAAATCATAGATTATTCTCATGACGAGTTACAGTTTAAGTGTGCCAAATGTCTGTTACTTTACCCTGGCATGTTTCCACCAGGTCCTATGGACGTCTGAAACATTAGGTTGAAGGATATAGGAGGGGACACGTCATTTCCTGTGGTGGGGGATTTTACATTATACTTTACAAACAGATCAGCCAACTCCTGCTGGGTGAAGTTATCCAACTAAAAACAGCACAAGCAGAAAGTATTGTAAGTATTGTAAGTAGTGAATTGAGCCTCAAGTGGGTTTCATTGTAAAACGAATGATCATAATATAAATACCAACCTGAGTGACCACATTCTCCATCTCTGCCTTCTTCTCTGCTGCACACTTCTTATCAGACATGAGCTTTTGAAGATGTGCTGAGAACAGAAATATTAATTCATTAAAAGACCACTCATGATACCCCCCCAGGCTGTGGCAGGGAGTATTTACCTTTGAGGAGATGGTCAGCCCTGAAACATTCTCCATTCTTGACATCTTTAACCATGTAGTCTGCAAATTTCTCCACGTGACCTGATGTCCTGAGTAAAGAGTAGAAATGTTTATAAAATGTAACCAATTCATAATCGCAAAGGTTTCTGATAATCCTTGTTTCAAATGAATGTATCTGCAACCGGGCTATGGAAGGCTGCTGTAGTGACAGATTCCATGCATAAAATCGCAGATTTAATTTCCGCCTGTTAAATAAACCTATAGCTCAGCATTGAACAGCTGACTGTAGGAACCACCAGGCAAACATTTAAAAATTCTATCATAGTTATTAGGTGCATACTTGAGAACGGGCTCAGGGGTTAACATGGTGCAGTCAATCTCCAGGATCTGCTCCTCCTGAATGAAGTGCTGTCTCCAGGCCTGCAGGATGTTGTTCTTTAGAGCACAACCGACCGGACCAAAGTCATACAGGCCGCTCACACCTGGGAAGCAGGCGATATTGTAAAAAAATGTATACATTCTATATAAAACACACACTGATAAAACATACATTTAAAGCCTGGAGAAGCAATACAGGTGTCAGGGCAGACCTTACATAAATGTCATACCTCCATAGATCGCAAAGGCCTGGTCATAAACAAATCGCCTCTTAAGAGTGTCTTCCATTTTTGCTCTGTCCACAATATCATCTTTGGGTTGTAAAGCCAGCTCCTGCAGTAAGCAGACAGATTCAGTTACATGTGTACATACTCCAACACGAGGAGGGTGTTACCTTCGCCTCTAAAGCCCTCTTTCTTGCTTTAAGTTCAGCCACAGCTTTGGTGACATCCACGTCAGGAGCTCCCCCCTGTTTAAGTGTACGCACCAGGTCTCCCTGAAAATAAAAGTAGAACAAGTGGGAAAATGTTGCAACACGTGTGTGTGAAGTATCTTTTCATTCATGATCCAAGTGACAGGTAGTGTAAACACAAGCTATGACAAACCCCACCCCGCGGACACTATCTGCAGCACTGCTCTCTGAAACGTGGCAGAGGGCGCACACAGAAGCTAGTTAGCTTGAGCTAACAGGCAATGGCTGCGCCCATTCATTGGCACATAAGAGAGACGCCGGTTAGCATTAGAGGCTAGCCTTGCAGATGAAGTTCTGCTTTGGCTGAAGTATGGAGTCTGGTCAGAAGTAATGCCCCTCACATAATAACTACCTGTTCTTTGACAGCCAGCCTCAAAGGGGCCAAGATCTCCTCAATGTTCCCTTCCATGTTTCGCCCTTCTTCAGCCTGCTGCAGCCACAGACTCTTCTTCTTCTTCTTGTACAGGCAGACCGAGGTGGAAAACGGCCTCACTCGCTGCAGACACTTGAAGGACCGCCGCACTAATGGGACCAGAGACAGGGGACAGACGGAGACAGACGTGCTGGTCCACAGCAGTGCTGATGCGGCGCGGCGAAGGAGCATGGACCGCGGTAATGCGAGGAGAACAGTATGATGAAATCTCTGCGAACGTGAAAATGCAACTTCCGCATTGCGCTCGCACTTTCGAATTATTTTATATAATTTGTTACACACTTAAACACATGCCCGCTTGAATCAAACCATGTTTACAATTTATGGCAACATATTTCTTTATTCAGTGGTATGAAAATATACAACAAACCACTAAAACGTTTGCCATCAAAGCAGCGTTAAATGCAGTCAATGAAGTGACCACTGGGGGGCGGTATGTGATAACCAATCAACTAGAGCAGGGGTCTCCAACCTTTTTTCAGTCGGAGCTACTTTTATGCAACAAAAGAGGCAGAGAGCTTCTCCTTTTTGCAGTCAAAATAAAAAATCCTTGTAATAATTACGACAAAACATACCGTAAAATCCTATATTTATACTTACAAATAGGTAATGACTCAATTTATTCATTCAAGATCAATCTAAATCCTTTGGGGAGCTACCTGAAAGGGGCTGGCAAGCCACAGGTTGGAGACCCCTGAACTAGAGGCAAGCGAGCAGAAAACAAACTACTACAACAACCACTATTGAATATTTAACATGAACAATACCTTTTGATAAAAGAACGTATTTTTCAATGTTTTGTATTATATCACACAACATTTAAAATACAACTTTACCTTTTACCTAAAAAGAATAATATTTAAGTCCACCAACTCGTCTCCCCTTACTGGCCCCATGTCTTTGTGGATGTCCAGGAGACCTTGAATGCTCTGCTGCTTGAGGGGCCTCAGAGAAAGGGAACTGAGAGAAGGGGATTTTGAATCAAGCTCTTTCCCTGATTACGGCCTCACTGACTGCTATCATACATTATTTAGACACTGGCTTAAAGCTTTTAATTTTATTGTTGTATGAGTTAAGTATGGAAACCCGCCTCTATTCAAGTATTCAGCATATTTTGACTGGTTGGGAAGGATGGGTATAGAGGTCAGATGTAATGGAGTATGAAATAATAAAATAGTGATTCCATTTAATAGATATACAGTGGGGGCTTTCTTATTGCTTATAGTTGTATGTTAATTGTATATTATGTTATGATTATCTCATGTGGAGATACCAGTGTAGTCCCAGTCTTATCATATTTCAAATGACCATGGTGCTCTGACAATCAATGCAACCTGATAGTGTCGGTCAAGTGCCCAAGAGACTGTGATTGTGGGAAGTGGTTCAGGGACACTATATCACAGTAGGCTGTAGCTTTTTGTAAACAGTGTAGTGGAATAGAGGGAAGGTTGTATATGATCAGAACACAAATAACAATCATTGTTCCATATGGTCCAGTCACTTGACCCTCGTCAGTGACATAAGGATATATGGGTCTACACCTTCAGACTCCGGTATACGCTGACAATTAAAATGCATTTGTACTTACAGGATAGGCTCTATTCACTTGAGCCTATACTTGTTCAATCAACAAAATATAAGTGATACAATAACTTTTATTAATTCAGTGTGTATTCACATAGCATTTGAACAAATTATAACACATTATTACTATTACCATGGTGGATGAAACATGGTGTTCACTGTACACTCTGACAAGGAATGACCTGCGGGACCAAGCAATGGTGGATCAGTCTGTCATTGAAGGTGCTCTCTAGAGCAGACAGAGGACCCTGCATGGGGTGAGAGTCATGGTCCAGCATGGATGTTAGTTTGTCCAGGACCGTCCATCCCGTCACCTGCTGCACTGCCCACGGGACAGCCCAGGAACATACATACATACAACTCGATACAAGATGTCCGGTGCCACCACCACAGAATGGTCCTCAGGATTGGCCCCCTCACTCTGAAAGACCCCAGTCCCCTCAGCTGACAGAGCAAGGTTCTTTTAAATGTTATCTACACAAATAAGTATACGATATGTGTACTTGGTAATGTCTGTTACTTTAACATGCGTATTTAGTTGAATGGCAATGGAGTCCCACTATTGCAAATGACAACATACGACTGGCACGCCCACTTGGATAGTTATGGCTTTGCCATTGTGCAATCTGAACATGGAACCTTCTTCCAACGGCATTATTTGTACAAACCGCTCATACACCATGACTACCTTTCAGCGGACAAAAACATTAAATGGATCAACTTTTTGACACTGCTTGTGTGCTATAGAGTGGAGTAAGGCAAGGCAAGGCAAGTTTATTTGTATAGCACAATTCATACACAAGGCAACTCAAAGTGCTGAACAAGATAGCATTAAAATCATAAATAATTACAGAACATTAAAACGAAAGATAAAAATATAAAATCCCTCAGTTGTATGCACAGCTAAACAGCACCGTTTTTAACCTGGTTTTAAACATTGTCAGAGAGGAGGCCTGTCTCACATCTTCAGGAAGATTGTTCCAGATTTTAGCAGCATGAATCTGAAAAGCAGCCTCCCCATGTTTAGTTCTGACTCTGTATAGATGGGCGAGTGGCGGGGGGGTTCGCCATCTCCGGTGAGTGCGTAAAGAGCGCGTATCGCGCTGATGTAGAGAGCAGTGGGCGCGTACAGTAGCAGCAGCAGAAGGCGGGGGCTCCGCCTGCAACAACCTCACGGACACACACAGCTCGTACGCGGGAATGACGCTTTGTTTGCCTCCTGCTCCTCGCTCTCGGACTGACATCTCAAATGTTGGACGCGCTGTGGCCGATCCTTGTCTCTCAAATTTCCTGTTGTTTGTGAGCTCCGAGGAAATGGGACTGTGCGCTTCGACTAAAATGGGATTTTAATGGTACAAACAGCGGACGCTCTGTGCGTGTGCGCAGCCAGAGGACTGTACTGGTGATGTTTCCAAAGGAATAAACACGGTGTAACCGAAGCTGCAGACCATCTCGTTTCCATGGACAACACGTCCATTATAACACAGGTCGCAAATCCAAAAGAGGAGGAGAGCAATTCTTCAAGTCCAGATAAAGGTAAGATGTCAAAGCACCCGATTTCATCCAGATGTTTGTGTTTGTGCCTCCTGTTCCCGCGCAGCTGTGCTTGTTTTTGCTGCACAGTTGGCCGATGTTACAGCTCTGAGCGCACAGGACCTGATGCAGCTTTAGTGGATGTGGGAGACCTCCATTGTTCACGCACTTACAAACAGAGGATGCCTGTCAGAAGCATGTATCCACGCTTTATTACAGTAATAGGGTTCACAAAAGAAACCCGTTACAGCTCAGTCAAGGTGCACTCATATGACATTACTCATCTGGAGGGAATGGTCGTTTGTCATCCGTAGGTTGCACAGGGTTTACTACAGGGGGCGGGTACGCAGCCCCTTCATGCACTGGCGACATCCCCCTAAATATCATCACACTGACGTTGTAAATATTCTCTTTCAAACCACAGCAGGCACTATCAGAGTATAGATGTGTAGCCTATAACAGCTCCCAATATAACAGAACAACACTTTCATTTTTCATTGGAGGATGTGGAGGTCAGAGGAGTAGCCCAATATAATCCATGGTTTGAATTGTTGGGAGATTCTCCTTCATCACACTTGGCTAACTGTGGTTTGTCAGTAAATACGTGCATCCTAAAGAATGTAAGAATGGTTCAATGTCATGAAATGCTTGTTGGCTGGGATCTTGATGTTTTGAATTAGAAACATTTTAATAAAACATAGTCTTTATGACACCACACTAAAATAGGCACATTACCAAGACAAATAAAATACATAATGTTTATGTAACATCAATATACATTAGTAAACAATAAAGATGTTGACGTCCATCATCCATCCTTCAACAATCATGAAAAATAGAATTGTAACAGGCCTTGTGCAATATTGGTGTCTGTAATAAGTCCCTTTTCTCACGAAGCGAAAAAGCAGCTGTTGCACAGATTAGGGCCGGACTGAGAGCACATTTTCAGTGTTGTTCAAAGAGTCACCACTTCACTGTGTTCTGACACTGTCACAAATCCTCTCCATGTGTCGAGGCTTTTCAGTGCTGATTAACAGTGAGTAAACGTCCCTCCAGGCCCAGAGCTGTACAGCAGTCTCTTCTCAGAAGGCTTCCCTCGTCCTGCTCTGCCCAGGGCTTGTGAAGGCCACTCACAGTGTCGTGCTAAAGGTCACCTTGGTACCAAGCTCACAGCCCCATTGAGATGGATGTTTTAAGATTCTTATGAAACTAGAGTGTTTTTTTTATTTCATTCAAAACATACACAGTGGTGATAAACGTATACTGTAGCCACAGCTGCCCTGGGGTAGAAGGACAGAAGAGAGGCGATCAGTATGTGCTATTTGCCCGTCTGACCACCATCATCACTTACGCACACACCAGACTCATACTCGGCATGTGAAGGAAATGTCTTGCCCAAAGACACAATAACAATTTGGTTCTTTACAGCCGCAGCCACTGATTGTAAACCAGATAAAAAGAAAAAACATTCAGACGATCGCATTGTGCAGTGGTTCGTTTCCACACATTCATCTTCAACTGAGCTTTTTCATTAATCAAATAGTAATAAGCATTTTATTCTTTGATTTGCTGAGATTGCAATAAACCAAAGTGCCCAATATTATTACTAATTTTACTGCAATTGGCCACCTGAAGCTGCTTTTTGCTTTGACTTTCTTAACTGTGATTCCTGTTTTTTGGAATGTAAACACCCTTTACTTGTCTGCTTGGGATCTCTCTTTTCCATGAATCCAGAAAGAAGCATTTTTGTATTTCAATGAATCTAGGCAATCCTGGGGCATGGAGTTAGTTTTGTTCTTGAGATGAAGGCACTGTTCTCCCATTTTTAACTCTAATGCATATTGTTCCACTTCATTTGGAACTTTCTTTTGTAAATTAATCTAATTGTAAGGCAAGGCAAAGCTAGCTGGATGTGTGAGTCTTACAATATTGTTTTCCATGGTAATAAGTTCAACAATTACTTCAGCTGTAGCAAATATTGTTCAAGTAATACAACGGCACAATTTTTGTATTTCTGCTATTCTCCCATTAAAACAGTCCTCTCTCATTATTCAGTCTCTCGTGTGGTTTGTATTCCAAGTAATTGAATTGCAATGCGTCCTCCCAATTGTGTGGGCTGCTCCTTTCTTCCCTCCTCAGCGCCTCTCTGGGAATACTCCTGCTCTGGCTCAACAAGACGCTGTTTCTCGAGAAAAGAGGATGTTATTGCTGCAGTTACAGGCCAAATCACGCAAGTTATGAGCAATGGGAGACATGGCTGTACCCCGTGGCGAACCCTCCCAAGTCCAGCATTCCTCTTTTCAGACTGCAGCTTTGGTCAGTCCATGGTCCAGAGGGCACACGCTGGCCTTTTTCTCAAACTTCTTATGCAGATGATCGGTGTTTGACTGCACTGTGGGAAAACCTTTTCCCCTCTGCTTCTGTGGCTTGTTTTGAACCAGGCTATACCAATCAAAAGAAACATAAATGTCAAATTTATTTTATTTACCTATGCGTAAGAGATCAAATGATTCAATGGATTATTTGTTTGCCAGTTGCCACGGTTTTCTTCTTGTCCGTGTCCTTGCAAATTTGCTTTTAAATCAATTTGTTCCATGGTCAGTGAGGATTCCAGTGCTAGCCACTATTCATTTAATACTGTTTGAATCCCATACTAAACTACAGGTTCCATATCACTTTGTCACCATAGTAACACACAACATTGAGCACAAACGGTTAGCTAACATTTTTGATTGTAATGTTACTGTTTAAGGTGTCTCTTTTACATCAGCATGGTGTTGCTAAACCTGCTAAAAAGTTAAGTGTAGGAAAACGTATCTGTGTCTGCGTCTACATTTTGGTCCTAGCAACGGTTGCTATGGAGTTTTTGCTGGCTCTTAGGTCATAAAGTAGTCCCTTTCCTCTAACATGTTTTTTGGGAGTGTATTGGGATAGATATATATGTTTTCTCATAAGTTGTGAGTGTGTGAGTGTCATAACCCTGGTGTGTCCATATCAAACAACAGGGAGCAGTGCGGTTGTATGGTTTAAATGTCGTTCTAGATTCCCGGTTGTGCGTTCAAGCCAAACAACCACACGGTTCCAAGTTGCTTAATCCTTACTTATCTATATAATTTGAATCCCTGACAATCCTTAATCTATCTGCCTATACAACATACAACAACATATGCCAATGTATCAACTAAAAATCTCCATATTTTTTGCCTCAAATCACAGATAACTTATTACAAAAACGCTGTGCAATTGAGAACCATCCAGTATCAATAACAAACAAATCCTGGTTTGTTGGACTGTGGCTATTCTTGCTTGAAAAAATTCTATTACTCATGTTCCAAAATAGGCTCTCCCATAAGCAAAAACAGTGTATGTATATATCTAAGCACACAAGATAAATTGCACATCCATCATGCCATTCAACACCACATTGTCAAAACAGATCAATCTTCCAGAGCAGCAGAGCAGAGGGTCAAGGTTGGTATGTGGCTCTGAAATCTTAGACTTTATGCGAACTATTGGTATGCTTGTTTCGCCCTGTTATCTGGCTGGCATTCATCACAGGTAATTGCCCATCTACCAAGGAGATCATGTGGCTTCCATTTTGATTTTCTGTCGGGCCCCGTCTGAATAATGGTGTTGTGACGATGCCATATCTGACAGAAGAGCGGTTCAAGTCCATGCCTTTTTAAAGACAAGTGCAGAACAGGCAAAAATTGCGGAACACAAAGAGGCTTTCAGTGGCTCTCTGGAGTAAAGGTGAGTTCTGTTTAACTGTGAGTCTCCAGGGGTCAGGAAGTAGGACGTGATGTGTTCAGGAGCCATGGGAGACAGCACCACCGAGGCACAAACAAATAGTATATTCGACCTACATGTTGTGACTATTTTAGAAAACTCCCTTTGGATGTTTGCTGGAAGGAAATGTCTGCATGTAACAGGGTGAAGCGCATTCAAAACATATTGGCATTCCAAAAGAAATTTAAAAAGTATGTTTTTGTCATAACTGTTGATTTTGTGTTTGTTTTAATAATTTTCTAAAAATGTATTATTTAATTTCAGCAGAACGTTACCTTCTGCACCTATTATACACTCATACACATGCATTCATTTATACATACATACATAGACATATGCAATATTTAAACATTTGTACATAATGTATTCCAATGTAGTTTTTATACTGCACATGGCTAATAAATGAATCTGAATCTGAATCTTTACATTTCAAACTGAAATGCCAACACTGTCCATATTTTGTAGATTATAAAAAAACCCAATTAAAATCATTGTTAGTGGTTGTGGGAAGCCATTTATTGTCAAATAATCATGTTTTCAATTTTTAAAACTGCTCAAGTGACCTTGATTAGAAGTGTCCATCTCCCAGTTCTCATTAGTGTAATTATTCTTGTTGTGAGTAAGGTTTACTATCCTCTCTGATGGTAAATCTGCCATGCTTTTTAGTAAAAAAAACAAAAAACAAAAAAACATCAAAATCCTGTAATTCCTGGGCCTTGTATAAACTGCACTCTTGAGATCCCCAAAGTGCCTCAATTATGTTATAATTTGAAAATAGAAAACATGTTTATTCATATGGTTTCACACAACCTCTAACAACGAGTGAATTAAATGTTTGCGATATCATTCCTATTCTGCAAAAAATGGCCAAAACAATTACATCTCTGGTTGGGTTTGTAAACTTTCTCGCACAACTCAAGCACTCTCATCTTTTATTGCATTTCCGGACACATACATATACAGTCATATATAAGGGTAGGACTTCAAATCCCTCTCTGGAGAAGTCTTGACTAATGGACTCCTGGATTCCCCATCTCGCTCTGATACTTGGGGCTTAAGCTTGTCGGTGCTGATCAGAATAGAGGAGGAGATATAAATACTCCAGTGCCACAGCCACAAACATGGTGGGCTTTATTGCTGCCAGTTACGTAACTCCTCAGTCAGATCCTCCTCATTATTTCTGTTGCCGGCTCTCCGTGGGTTAATTCCCATAT